TTTGACTGGGTTTATGCCTCAAATAAAGTTTTCATCGGCGGGTCGGTTACTAAGGCACCCTACTCCTTAACAGTCTTGGGTAACGTCTCCCCCAGAATACCATGAATCAGATCAGACGATTCTTGCACCCTCACTCTTTTGATCGGTTTTGGCCTCTTGGCCAATTTCTTCCTTGACAGCTCACCCTCGGATCGACGCGGACTGATTTCAAGAGCGGCTAGTATCCTAGTTTTATCAACAGGTTTTAGCGTGAAGTTGGATCTTTTCTCCATAACGAAACTACGAATGGCGAAAAAAGCCAACAAGAGAAACAAACTCGAGATGATGAAGTTGCCCCTCTAGCGCACTATATATAATAGTCATGAACATAGAAATCTAGGAAGTTTATTTATGATCTTAAATAAAGATTATTATAAGATTCGTATTATTTTAAAACTTTTTTGTCCTTCTCATAGCTATCACCATCAAGGAGCAAAAAAATTAGAGAACTTAATATATACAAAAAAAAAGACTGCACAGATCTTGAAGCAACTTGATATACTAAATCAAAAACTAAATGTTCGGTTAGAGAATTCATGGCCGACTGAGTGGCCAAAGGTCGATCGATCGAGGACTATCTTGGCCAGCCAATAGCAAGCATATATGTATGACAAAAAATATGAAGACCTATGATTCTTCAACCAATTAGCTAGAGGCCGACCTCCCAGTCGGCCGGCTGTCAGCAAAAGATCGACCGACCATCTCTGGCTAACCAACTTCTCAAATAATCGATCATTCATCTTAGACCTACTGCTAAGAATTAACAGGTCGGCCATCCAAACCCAACCACCCGACATCCAAACCTAAACTGTTATCAAAAGCACAGGTCGCCCGGAATCTTGACGAAATGATCGACCGATAACATCTTAATCGACCGAAGGACAAATCTGTCAGATGGAGAATCCAGAAACATCAAAGAATGATAAAAACGGTCACCCAATATGAAAAGATTGAAATATCCAGCAACCCCCTCATTAAAGCAGGGGTCGAAATGTAATTTTTATCTTAATGGCCCTCTATCTTTATATAAGTAGAGAGTCTAACACTTATAATGGGTTTTTTTTTTCTCCTTAAGATAGACTCATACTTCAGATATAGCTCCTCCCTCCTTCTCATCCCAGTGATCTCCATTTTTGATATATAAAATGGGTCATGAACCCGGGAATACCCCAATTAGTGTGTGTGATCTCTCTATCTCTCCTGTCTGATCCCGTCGTTCCAATCCTTAGGTATGACCCACTGGACAGATTTGAATTCAATATGATGTCTTCTTCATCAAATTTTGTTTTCTTGACCAGATGGACATCTTCTCCTTCCTCTTTGCAATATATCACAATGATCTAAAAGTGCTTGCAAGCGTCACCACCATAATTTGCTTACATGACACAAAAAGCATGGATCTTCTCAATAAGTTGATAATAAGAGGTTTTTGTTGTTGAAAGAGTCCAATGGTGATGGCAAACAAAGGTATGTGCTTTACATTGGCCCATAGATGCTATCAAGTGCGGAAATACACCAAATAACTCATAGCTCTAGCAGTGAAGACTATTTCATGATAGGAAATGCACTCTCTTGAAAAACAATGACATAAATTTTGTTGGAGTACTGAAATACAACATTTAATTAAGTGAATAGTGCATATACAATTTAATTATTTTTTAAGCCAATCGATTATATAAAGTTCGGTCTCTTTATCTATAAATTATTTAACTTTTTTGCTCAAGTTAAGTACTGAATTTTCTTATGATTGAACTTTCATAAGTGACGTTTATAGACAACATATGCTTCAAAGGATGACGTCTAAAGGGAGAGGTTTCGGATCAAAAGAGAAAATTCCCATAACTAATTAATGGCAACATTTCTCTCTATAGTGAATTGATTGGAAAGAAAGATGGTCTTAGAAGACATGCTCTTTCTATTTCATTAGTTTACTCGTCTATTATTCACAAGAAACTAGAAGCCCCAATGTGATAGCATATTTATTCGAGCATAAATAAGCCAACCAAATTAAAAATAATAAATATAAATTTTGTCGTATCAAGTCCACTGTTATCTAAGTTAGGCATGCCCAAACCTGATAGTATTATGTTTATTTGGAGTGGCACCATATTAGGAGTTTAGGACCAGGCCAGTTAATTTGATAGCCCTAAGCATTAATCGTAAAAGGTCATACGGGAAATTGTTGTTATGCAAGTGAGGTTGTTGTGTAACAGTGCAAGCAGGGTAACAATATAGTTCTTTATGGAAACAACAAAGGTGTAAAAATGATTACAGCACAAATCTAAAGAAATATGATAAAGTTTAATGAAAGGTTGTAATGCAATGCTTAAGGCTTTGATGAGTACAACATAAATGAGCTCATGATGTAGGCTAGAGGGAAATTATTATTGTACAAATGATGTTGCAACACATTTCCTAATGCAACAATGGCTACAACACAAGTATGGATCTTTCCAAAGATTTGAGGAAAACAATTGCAGAGCAAGCAAGGTTTTATAGAGGTCTTAAGCATCATATGTATTCAGTAGGTGAGTGATGCTATTGAGACCACAAATTCGACTATTATAAATAGAGAAGTGTGGTCCTATTTCTATTTTTCATGAGTTATGTCTATGTGGCCATCCTTGAAAATTCAATTTTTTTTATTACAATGAACAATACCATGATGAGATAGGAGCAACTTCTAATCCTCAAGTGTCCACATGCAAAGTTCATGTTACCATGTTTGGTAGCTCAACATGGCTATTAAGAAGACAACTAACATATGAGAAGAGGATTGTCACTTATTCTTTTGGTGTTCGTATGCGAGGCTTAAGCCACCATGCTTGCTAGTCCAACACGACTATTATTATGATAGATGAAGTAGTGAGAGAAGAACAGTGTTTGATGTACATGTGTGTGGACAATAATCATGTTGTTGTGTTGATATGTCGAGACTAATTTTGTAGTGCTATTATAATAAAGATATTGACCTTGGGCTAACCCATCTGTCTGCAGGACAACAAATGATAATCCAATTATGTTGGTTTGACAATGAACATTGTAGAAAATGTTGAAGAGTAGTGAGCTGGATACACCATGTCATGGATCTTAATGACACTATTGCATTGGTGATGATGGACAAAAATTTGGATTATTAGATTGAGATAATATATTTGAATAATTCACGCTCAAACCTTGGGTTGCCAGAAAATGACAATGTCCTTTCATTTTTATACGAAAATGTTCCTCTTCAAGATGATCCATTTGTTGCATATAGCTCACTACATAATAGTTTTAGGAGATATCAACAGCTCAAAGTTGAAAGCTTTATAGTCAATTTGTATAATAATGAGCATATATTGGCTCAATTGGATAATATCGACATGTCGCTCGTGGTGAACTTGACTAAGAGCCGATTAACGAGGTCCCTCAACTAACTTAAGTGGTGACAACATAATATTTATTGTCAGCTTCTTCTTTAAGCGAACAAGTCAGAGCGGTCAGCCAAAGTAAGATCAAATTAGGCTGATCTAATTTGGGTTAGATCAATTTGCTTTAAACCACATCCCAAGTTCTAAATCTTACAATCTTGGCATCAAAATGTAATGATATTTGTGCCATTTCAAGCTCATTGATTTCTAATCTAAATTTTATTAGAAATTGGAAATCACTTCTTTGTACATCACCTGGGGATTCATGAGTTATGTTGAAAATCATGTGATCATATATGAATTTTCACAATCACAATGGTGGTCTCACCAATTAAAATAAGATATCACACAAATACTTTCTATATTATTCAAACTTTTCACTTTTTCAAGTGAGATCATACGAAATTCTGGCAGCAATTTATTATTTATGACAGCCATAAATCTAATAAAATTAGATAGAGGTTTCATTAGTTTTATAAGATATGTTGGGAAGGATGCGACCTGTGTGGTTCGCCATGGATCATTAAAATGTTATATTTCAGAGTAATTGAATGACATAAATTGTTAGAATGATAAGTAATAATGCATATGAACTTGATTTCTTTAAGGATATCAGAAGTTCCATAGTATTCAATATAGCAAATTTGACATTATAACATAAAAATGTTTTCGATAATATTGCTAATGTTTTATTATTGTAATTTGCCTATTGACAAGAAGGTAATACTCCTAAATACATCTTCATTGATGATCTTCTCGTTATGAAGCGAATGAGTGAGGTTGCATACTTGCTAGTAAGCCTATGAGTTCAATAGTACATGGTGAGATCTCACCCCATACAAGAATCATAGATGACTTAGTCAATGTATAGAGGTCTTGCCCTCATCTACAACTTATATATTAGAAATTCATTTGATGGCATCTACTTCTTTGAAGTCTGAAAGGTTACTGCAGGAGACATTTTGTTATTTAGTTTCGTATAAATTGTGAATTTAGTTTATATGTAAGCAAGATTCACTTTTATGTACTTTTCTAGTTTAATGGATTTCAAGCTCATTTGGCCTCTAATATGACATTTAAATCAAAATAATACATCAAGTTGACTTCATAAACTGACTCAGAACTCATACATTGTGTTGAAAATCATGCTGGTCAGATAGAGATTTTCACAATCCCAATAGGGATCCCACAAACTAACATGAAATCTGAACCAATTATTTCTCCATTATTTTAAGTTTTCATTAATTCAAATATTATTCAATTTTTTTGCATTTTCAAAAGAGACCTCGCCCAAGTTACCTTCTTTTCTCTATAAGAGCTCTTAAGACACAACTAGCTAAAAATTCCTGTAAACTACAACAGCTCACAACAGCTAGAATGAGAAAAGTTCTTTTAACAATTTGGAAAAATATGCATAAAAGAAGCGCCTTATCAATTATAGCTCAAAAAATTAATCAACAAACCGTGAAGCAAAGCATTTTCTGAAAAGAGTAGGTCGCCAACAGTTCCTTTCCATAACGTAAAATGATGGAAGAAGATAAATAATACCGTTCGGGAGGTGGAAGATGGGGTCCCGGCTTTAAGAAAAACCATGTTAACCGACACCACCTCCCCTTCAGCCTTCCTCCCAGCCTTAACTAGATCAAACTGCGATGCTCTGAACTTTCTAATCACTTCCAAGCTCTTAGCCAAATTCTCCATCGCACTCCCATCATACATCAGAGCCCCATGCCCTGGTGCCCCTCTGGCCTTAATCGTCATCCACCAGGGGCTCCTCTCTGCGTAGAAAACCCTATAATCCTCACTCGGCGAGGCTAACCCCTCATCGAACACCACCCCAACATTCAGAGAACGAAACTTCTCAGATTTGGCAAAGGCTTCGGCCCCTTCATGACCGCCGATCTCCTCATCGGGCACGAAGGAGACGTAGATGGTCCTATCAGGGGTAAACCCCTTGGCTTTCAAGTGGCGGATCGCTTCTATGTATTGGAGGCCAACGCACTTCATGTCCTGAGAGCCTCGAGCAAAGATTTTTCCATCCGAATCGGTGGATGCAGAGAAGGGAGGATAACGCCACTTGTGGGGTTCAGCGGGGACGACGTCGGTGTGGGAATTGAGGAGGAGGGAGGGGAGGGAGGGGAGACGGCCAGGCCAAGAGAGAAGAACGAGGGGCTTTCCTGCAGCAAACTCCACAGTTTCGGCATGGAGGCCGATGGAGGCTGATTGGGCGAGAAGAAAACGGGCTGAAGTGTCGTAGTCCGGCGACGGGTGGGCGGTGTTGATGCGAAGGTATTCTTGGAAGCGGGCAATGATTGCATCGGCATCATCGTCAATGACCGAAGCGACGGCAGATGCCGGCGTGAGGAGGAAGAGGATTAAGAGCAGGAAGAGCAGCATTCTGTTCCCATTCATTTTGATTTTTCTGAGGCGGTGTGGCTGCAACCTGAAATTACGTTAATGAGCTGGAGAGTTAGCAAAGGGTGCATTTGGGGAAACGAAGGCTGTGGGTGGAGTTCGAGACGGCGCTATCCAAAGTGTAACGGGCCTTTTCAAAAAACCTCTTATTTAGTAGATTGAGGATCCCTTTGAGTAGAAAATTTATCAGATTTGTTTGGGTAAATTATGTCTTGACAACTTATATGTTTTTAAAATGTTGAAAGCAGCATTTTTATAATGCACTTATCTAGGTGTGGTGGTAGCTTTCGGTTGCGGTCTAACTTTTTCAAAAAAAATAAAAATTTGTAGTAGTCACCACACCTAGCTTATCGGCATATTATTTTTATTCAGCTAATCAGCAAATTATTCAATAAGTTGGGGTTTGTTTGAGGCAGCTGTTGATTATTTATAATCTACTGGTAAGCAGATTATTTTGATAATCTGATAATCTGCAGATTATCAGAATAATTTGACTTGCTGTTTGGGGCGGCTTATTCAGAATAGTTTATTGGTGGTTATGGTTGTATAAATGACATTCCTAGTCTTGTCTAATAATTTGTCTTGCTGTTTGGGGCGGCTTATTCTGAATAGTTTATTGGTGGTTATGGTTGTATAAATGACATTACTAGTCTTGTCTAGTAAAACTATTTGAGACAGCTTATTCAGAATAGCTTATTGGTAATACAGAAGCATATAGTGCAGAAGCATACAATCATCACAGATCAGTTACAAAAGATGACATACAGTTCTCACACTCTCGTATTAAAATATTTAATTTCAAACTCTGGCTCGTCTGTCCTCAGCTGCTCTATCAACATGGGAAAACATCGGATTCCCATGACTGTTGGCAATGTAATATGTGAGACTGTCAGCCCACCGGAAGTAGCTGCAACGAGCTAAAACACCATTGACACAACCGTAGAACTGTCTCCCAAAGCTATGAGACTGACGCGACGTGAACAACGGAGACGGTAGTCCACAATAACACAAAATACATTTATCTGTAATTGATATCCTAGAAGTCGTGTTTGTATAACAGCAAAAAAAAACAAAAAAAAACGATAGTGTGAGAACTGTATGTCATCTTTTGTAACTGATCTGTGATGATTGTATGCTTCTGCACTATATGCTTCTGTATTACCAATAAGCTATTCTGAATAAGCTGTCCCAAATAGTTTTACTAGACAAGACTAGTAATGTCATTTATACAACCATAACCACCAATAAACTATTCTGAATAAGCCGCCCCAAACAGCAAGTCAAATTATTCTGATAATCTGCAGATTATCAGATTATCAAAATAATCTGCTTACCAGTAGATTATAAATAATCAACAGCTGCCTCAAACAAACCCCAACTTATTGAATAATTTGCTGATTAGCTGAATAAAAATAATATGCCGATAAGCTAGGTGTGGTGACTACTACAAATTTTTATTTTTTTTGAAAAAGTTAGACCGCAACCGAAAGCTACCACCACACCTAGATAAGTGCATTATAAAAATGCTGCTTTCAACATTTTAAAAACATATAAGTTGTCAAGACATAATTTACCCAAACAAATCTGATAAATTTTCTACTCAAAGGGATCCTCAATCTACTAAATAAGAGGTTTTTTGAAAAGGCCCGTTACACTTTGGATAGCGCCGTCTCGAACTCCACCCACAGCCTTCGTTTCCCCAAATGCACCCTTTGCTAACTCTCCAGCTCATTAACGTAATTTCAGGTTGCAGCCACACCGCCTCAGAAAAATCAAAATGAATGGGAACAGAATGCTGCTCTTCCTGCTCTTAATCCTCTTCCTCCTCACGCCGGCATCTGCCGTCGCTTCGGTCATTGACGATGATGCCGATGCAATCATTGCCCGCTTCCAAGAATACCTTCGCATCAACACCGCCCACCCGTCGCCGGACTACGACACTTCAGCCCGTTTTCTTCTCGCCCAATCAGCCTCCATCGGCCTCCATGCCGAAACTGTGGAGTTTGCTGCAGGAAAGCCCCTCGTTCTTCTCTCTTGGCCTGGCCGTCTCCCCTCCCTCCCCTCCCTCCTCCTCAATTCCCACACCGACGTCGTCCCCGCTGAACCCCACAAGTGGCGTTATCCTCCCTTCTCTGCATCCACCGATTCGGATGGAAAAATCTTTGCTCGAGGCTCTCAGGTACAACTACAATGTGATAATATTAAAATATTTTAATAATAAAAAAAGGATAAAGACAAGTACAACTACAATGAGAAATATTAAAATATTTAATTTCAAACTCTGGCTCGTCTGTCCTCAGCTGCTCTATCAACATGGGAAAACATCGGATTCCCATGACTGTTGGCAATGTAATATGTGAGACTGTCAGCCCACCGGAAGTAGCTGCAACGAGCTAAAACACCATTGACACAACCGTAGAACTGTCTCCCAAAGCTATGAGACTGACGCGACGTGAACAACGGAGACGGTAGTCCACAATAACACAAAATACATTTATCTGTAATTGATATCCTAGAAGTCGTGTTTGTATAACAGCAAAAAAAAACAAAAAAAAACGATAGTGTGAGAACTGTATGTCATCTTTTGTAACGTGTTTGTTAAACAACAAAAAAAAATAAAAAAAAAAACGAATGTCAGAACTTATCCAAAAAAAAACACATAAAAATTGATCAACATATATACGAAGAAAAGAAAGACTTGTTGGATTAGCTGTCATATATAGCATCTGCTATAGACTCCCTTAGAGCAGCCATCTCAGCCACACCCTCCGCGTCATGAACTTCAAATTCATTAAATTCATTATCATCCTGAGGAACTGAAGGCCCAATCATGATTTCTGATGGTTCTTCATAGACAGTCAACTCTTCGTCACCAGTCATACTAAAGTCTGTATCTGAACGTGGAGGGTGTCGCCTTATGAAGTTATGAAGTGTCATTGTTGCCACCACAATATGCACCTGCTTTTGAAATGGATATGACAGCATATCACGTAGGATGACCCATTTCTTCTTCCAAACCCCAAACATTCTTTCAATTACCCCACGTAAAGAGGAGTGGCATTTGTTAAACATTTCTTTCGTACCACGAATAGTGCCACTTGCTCGCTCAAAATCAGAAATATGATACATAGTGTCTGGATATGGCTTCATCAAGGCCCTCTGCATAGGGTATTCAGCATCAACCAAATAGTATTTTCATGTTATGGAAGATATTGTTATTTGCAATAAATACCTATAACTTGGAATTATATAAATCAAAACATACCTAAAGGCGGATGAGGAAAACCCTGTGATCTATTCCTCGTAGCATAGGTGAAACTTCGACTATCATGTGCACTCCCTTCCCAACCCGCCATAACATATGTGAAACACATGTTGAAGTCACATACCGCCATGAAATATTGAGTAGTCAAACTACTTCGACCAATGTAAGCCACCTTGTCCTGACTAGGTATTCGAGTATCAACGTGAGTACCGTCAATTGCACCTATGCAGTTCTATTTTAGAAGGTTAGAAAATATTTATATGTTGTTATGAAAGTAAATAAAAGAATGGTTACCTTAAAGTAAGGCATGTAACAGGGATCAACTGCGATTTGTCCTGGAGTATTAGCAAATGATGGATCCTCTGGCCTGATGATTTTAGCGGCTAAGCTAACAAGTGTTTGTATGCCTTTGGAAAATGGAAAAATAACGACTTATTGTCTCCGATAAATGCTGAAATCTCTCCATAGCACCCCTAATTGATTCATTATGTGACAAAATATATAACGTTATAGCCAATACCTCCCTTCTCGTCGTTCTCGAAGAACCTTGGTGTCCGTGATTGAGGGATAACTCATGCAAGAGATCCATAAAGATTGGTATTGTCATTCAAAATATGTTACTAAACCTAATAGGATGTCCAGAAAGCATTTCGCCAACCCATTTATCCCCAACAAAGCTGAAGGTCATTCGGGGTATACGAACACTGCTTGATCGGTAATACTCCAGCAGTAATATGATAATAACTGCAACCCATGTCATTCTCTTACGACGTTCATTTTCTGGATCCATCCTAAAGGAAGAAAGAGCTTGGTTATTTCATTAATAATTAATCAATACAGCGAGCAAGAAATAAATAATGAGAACTCTCAGCTAGTAAGAAAAAAAATGTAGAGCTCTACTAATATGCATTCAGGAATCAAGTAAAAGTACATTTTAAAAAAGAAACACAACTCCAAATAACAAATGAGTTCAAAATTTGAAGAGTACATAATACATTTCTTGAAAACACATAAAAACTCAATCATTTACAATAACACGTAAATATTTGACTCGCAATTCTGGTTCCATTGCTATAAATAAGTGCATATAAATATGTGCCTACGTGTTGGATCCTCAAGTTTTTTCATACATATTGCATGAAAGTGCTTATCCACTACAACTTCAGGGATGGTTTTCAAAGCACGAAGACAATCGAAGATAGTGCTATCAGGTTGTGGAGCAGGTGGTGGTGCTCCAAAAGCATCTATGAGTCTATCAAATGAATTTTTCACAAAAGTATCATTTTCTTTCTTTCTTCTTCCTAGCCTGGACCTCTGCATCTGTGAGCTAGATTCTCCCATCTCCCTCTGGTTAACACTGTGTATTTCTTCTTTAACTGCCACAGGCTCTGGTGGAATATCATTGGGTATTCCTGCAAACCCCGTCTTACAAGGGCTAAATGCATGCTTTCCCGTTGCCATAACCCCCTTGAACATTATGTCAAGTTTCTCTTCAAGATCTGGGTCAATTCCGCTCTACTTGTAGTTTTTTGCTGTCGGCATTGCCTATAACATTACAATGAGGGGAGTTTAGTGGGATAATTGTTTAAAATGAAAATATTTGTAATTAACAAAAAAAAATGACCATTTTACCTCTAATTTCTTGGCCCACCATTCATCTGGAGCATCAATTGACCGTTTGATTGGATGTCAGCCCAACCCCGTGGATCCACGTTTCAGCTCCTTCAATTGATCCCATTTTGTTTTAAACTTTAGCCTGTCATAATCCCTTCCAGTTAATTGCTTAAACCTTTTAGATATATTATGCCAACCTTCGTTGTTGAAATAGGTGGTTGGCCTATTCCCGAT